GATGGTGGTACGGAAAACCGCATTGCTTTACTTTAGCAGCAATACTTCAGACACGATTCTACAGATCCGTTTGCACATCTAACCAACATATTGAAAAGTGATGGTGTACATTAAGACAAAATGGAATCAATTAGTGGATTAATTTTCTCAAAGACTTACGCGATACAGGTGTATTTAATGATCTGGACCCGATACTATGTAAGAACAATACAATGCAGTTAAATTGCAAGACATATATATTTGCAAAGACCCAAAGAGACACTGTGAGAAATTCGTAGAATTAGCACACCTTTTGAAGCTAGACCTACAGATGCCATTGGACGCTGGGTCAGCACTGCAACTGTATACCGAGTTGAACGATTTAATTTTGAGAATATATTTAACATAAATACGCTTTGAAACGACTTATACTGGATGGGTTTTTTCATGTTATTATATAAATAACACATGGGTTTGTGGGTTACAGTAAAAATATCATCCCGAGGAAAATACTGTAACCCGAGGCGTAGCCGAGGGTAACAGTATTTTTATGAGGGATGATATTTTTACTGTTACCCACAAACCCATGTGTTATTTATTTTATTACCCCGAACAAATACTGTGATGATCTGAATTTGTAAACTAAATCTAACTGTAACAAAATAAACCAAGAGAAGCAATAACTAAACTGTCCTTACCTTGTAAGTTTTAAGTGTACTGTAGGCCTACTTGAGAAGCTGTTTTTCTTTTATTCTTTAAGCAAGTGACGATATCTACCAGTCATAAACATACAATAAGCTGTTTGTTTTAGAAAACAAAACACTAACCCATTTATAAGGTTATGATCTGTGAAATCTTATCATTCTGTATCCAGAATATTCTTCGCATGGTTTTTTGACAAAGTGCATTTACAAATTAACGATGATATCCTACAGATGTCTGTCCAACAACTCTATCTGTAACGTTTCAATGGTTAAAATTGTTAAATAATCATTTGTTGCATGCTTTAATCGTCTGCATGTACCAGTATGACACAAAATTATTCACATTACAATAACTTCCGTTGAAAACGGTTGTTTACTTTTTGACTATTCAACAAAAAGATGTTTTATACTCGAAAAGAATTCTAGAGTGCATAGAATTAAATTTTATGAGAGTCATAGCCATTTTGGTGATGCCCTAGGCCTTATCGCCGAAAATAAGAATGAATCGAGAGAAAAATGGCGGCCATTTTATTTCATTTTATTTAGAAAATAGACCACGTGACCAGATTTTATACTGTTAAAAAATACTGTTATTATGTAACAGTACAAAATTCTTAGTCACGTGGTACACTTGCATTAACAGTAAGAATAATTCCCAGAGGCCTATGGGAAATTAACATTACGAAAAAAGTGAGGGGTAATAATGATATATACTAGGTAGAAATAGGTTAAGTTTCAAAAAATGATGTTTTTAAATCATAAAGACGATAGTCTTCCATTTCACTTACTTACTTTATTATATAGCTGTTTTAAGATATTGGTTTGTAAAAATGGAGCAAATTACAATATATTTGAGCCGTGTCATGACAAAATCAATATAGTGCGTTTGCGACCAGCATGGATCCGCGCAGTCTAATCAGGATCCTTGCTGTTCGCTTACAAACCCTTAGCTATTACAAGTACAGAAACAGCCCTGATCAGACTGCGCGGATGCGCAGACTGGTCTGGATCCATGCTGGTCGCAAACCTACTATGTTGGTTTTTTATGACACGGTTCATTTGTTAATTAACATTTAAGTTATGACCCCTCTAAGGGATTAGAAAATTGACAACATTTTTGAGTTCTGTACCGTAAAAGACACCTGTATGCAAAATTTAAACAAAAATTACCGTATGGATTTGGAAGTGTAAGCATTATTATGAGTCAGAACATTACATTTAAAAGGCTTTTAAAAAGAAATACATGTATTGAAAGTCAGTGTCATCTCATTAAAAGTGTTGTTTATTTAGATGCAAATAACAACATTTTAGTACATGTAATGGACTATGCATGTTAAATGCATGACTTTTCTCGACACGATATAAATATGCATGGAAATGTTTCTCTATTCCATCCATTTGATCATTTTCTATCATATCAACCTGAATTTAAACAAGAGGGCCATGATTGCCATGGATCGCTCCTCTGACCCATCAACCGCATCCAAGCAATGTCTTAGACAAGCATCCTGGCCAAGTTTGATGACAATTGAGTCAAAAATGTGACCTCTATTGTGTTAAAAAGGCTTTCCATATTTGGGCAATGTGACCTAAATTTTTGACTGGAGACGACCCATATTCAAACTCGACCTAGAAATCATCATAACAACCTTCCTGACAAATTTCCAGGATATTTGGATCAAAACTGCAGCTACAAGAATATTAACAAGCTTTTTTCTATTTTAGCTCCTGTGACCTAGTTTTTGACCGGAGATGATCCATCTTCAATCTTGACCTAGAAATCATCAAAACAACCTTCCTGACAAATTTCCAGAATATTTGGATCAAAACTGCAGCCACTAGAGTGTTAACAAGCCTTTTCTATTTTTAGCTCCTGTGACCTAGTTTTTGACCGGAGATGATCCATCTTCGAACTTGACCTAGAGATCATCAAAACAACCTTCCTGACAAATTTCCAGAATATTTGTATCAAAACTGCAGCCACTAGAGTGTTTACAAGCTTATTCTATTTTTAGCTCCTGTGACTAAGTTTTTAACCGGATATGACCCATCTTCAAACTTGACCTACAAATCATCACAACAATCTTCCTGACAAATTTTCAGAATATTTGGATCAAAACTGCAGCCACTAGAGTGTTAACAAACTTTTTCTATTTTTAGCTCCTGTGACTTAGTTTTTGACCGGAAAAAACCCATCTTCAAACTTGATCTAGATATTATCAAAAAAAACTTCATGACAAATTTCCAGAATATTTGGATAAAAACTGCAGCTATACTAGAGTGTTAACAAACTTTTTCTATTTTTAGCTCATGTGACCTAGTTTTTGACCGGAGATGACCCATCTTCGTATTTGACCTAGAAATCATCAAAAATTGATTCTCCACTAAACATTCAAATTAGGCTCTAAGTAATAGTGAATAATTGACATTTGCGAATAATTACCAAGACACCTTTTTTTGTTGGTTTAACTCATGTATAACATTGAACACATACTGCACCGTGGATGAACAAGTTTTGTCACGTGACCACAAATGCAAACGTCGATTTGTGATTTTGGCATACACGGACCCGATTTCAGGTAATCTATGCAGATATCTTTTTTTCCACTGCGAACACAAAAATAAGACATAGACCGTAGGACCCGGCGTAAATTAAGCTTTTATTTTATGTGAGTAGTCATTACTAGACTTAAGTAGTTTTTTAGAACACTTCGACACAAATTTTCTTTTTGCAAGGCAAACGCCGATAGCTTTTATCTTTTCTAATCTTTTTTGTTCACTGAAAACCCATGTAGAGGGAAAATAATAGAAGATATATCTTTTTACAAGAAATTCTCGTCCCTAACTTATTAATAATTCCATTGGCATGGTTATATCGATATAAACACATGTTTTTTCACTTAGTGTCGATTTTGCAAACGTCGTTTGATCATGAGAAATATGCAAACGTCGGTTGGTCATTTGAAATATATACAATGATAAAGTGAACAGACTGTAATAGAAGGTGTGTTAAAGAATGAATGTTGATAGTATTTCGTATCAGACAATGCAGATTCTAGGACATTTGCCCCGGACAGTTGCCCTCCGGATGTTTGCCCCCTCTTTTCCCTTGTGATTTGTCACTTGTCATCTCGTGCATAGATTTTTTAGTATTATTTGTTTATGGATGCTATTTTGACTTTCACAAATTTGCGCGAGTTTTTGTGTATTTAAGCACCATGAAATTTCCACAATAGGCGATGAATTATGGTAGCAAACAATTCAACAATAAAATATATTTTTGAACAGGGAGGGGGGCAAATGTCCGCCCCTTCCAAAGATAAGAGGGGGCAAATGACCGCCACTGCAAAAAGGGGGCACACTTTCGAGGGGGCAACTGTCCGAAGGGCAATGTGTGGATACCTAGCAGACCACGAAAGACTTACATATGTATATTGTTGGCAAGTGTAAGATACATGAACCGAAACTATATCTTATGTAGCAGATTATAAAGTGTTCTGGAATAAAATATGATCGTTCATCATAAAATGTTTTAAACTAAATCAATTATAACTTTATAAACATTTTAAAATCGTAATGAGTATGCTGTGATTTCTGCTATATAGTTTCATAGATATGAACTTGAAGCGTCCATTTTGTTATATTATGAACTTAATTACAGAATAACTATTACTTTAAAAATGACGCGATTAAATAAATGTTAAATGTGTCCTAACTTTGATATGCTACCCATTTTTTTATTCAAAGATTGAATATAGGGATGCTGGAATAATTTCTTAGTTAAAAGAGTTTTAATATTTGATTGCATTTCATGTTTTCTTTGTCTGCGCATAGGCAGGTCTATTTTTTCACGTGTATTTCATGACCGGGTCTGTCTGACTAGAACAGACCTGTGCACGTGCAAAAGATAGACATCATAACGGACTTTCTTTTGTTTAAACAGGTCTATCCGAAAAATATAGACCTGCCACAAACAATAGAGGAGGTGTGTAAGCAAGGATAAAGTGTAGCTGTCGTAAAAAAATTAACATAAATGATATTTTGATGCAACTATGTATAAAACTCTGGTGCCGTGCAAAATTAATTATAATACATAAAAATAAACTTAGACAGGAAAATACATACAGATATACAGTACGATTTAGATTGCAAAGATCAGAAAATACCACAGAACTTGCAGCCCTTTGATTCATTATAAATATACATGCTTATAGTAAGCTCCAGGACTATTTACATTTGTGTTAAACAACAGTTTCAAGTCGTTACAAGCCCTAATTTAGAATAATATGGTTTTCTTCAGGCCGTTCACATATAAAATTCACCGTGGCTGAAGGGTTTTCGGCAATATAGTGGAGACCTCAATGATGGCTGCAGTGGTGAAAGTTTACGTTTCGTTCTATTTGAATTTGGTGTTGGCTTTGGCATGAGTTTTCGTCCGAGGCGTTTACTTTTATATAAAGGTGAACGGTATGTTTGTGCGAACGGTGATTTTCTTGGTGAAAATTTACGCTTTTTCAGTGATGATGGCTTGGGGGAAAAATCTTCGCCGGTGTGAAAATGTCCAACTTGATAAGATTTATGTTTGCGTTTTGGGCGATGCAACGCAAGTTTTGACTTCCTCTTCGCCATCTGAAATAAAAAACAAACAAAATTTAATTAAGCAAACACAATATAGTCCAGCGTTCAAAAAGACATCAACGGGCGCTTGTATATATTTCAAATGACCAACCGACGTTTGCATATTTCTCATGATCAAACGACGTTTGCAAAATCGACACTAAGTGAAAAAACATGTGTTTATATCGAATATAACCATGCCAATGGAATTATTAATAAGTTAGGGACGAGAATTTCTTTTAAAACATGGGTTTTCAGTGAACAAAAAAGATTAGAAAAGATAAAAGCTATCGGCGTTTGCCTTGCAAAAAGAAAATTTGTGTCGAAGTGTTCTAAAAAACTACTTAAGTCTAGTAATGACTACTCACATAAAATAAAAGCTTAATTTACGCCGGGTCCTACGGTCTATGTCTTATTTTTGTGTTCGCAGTGGAAAAAAAGATATCTGCAAATGATTACCTGAAATCGGGTCCGTGTATGCCAAAATCACAAATCGACGTTTGCATTTGTGGTCACGTGACAAAACTTGTTCATCCACGGTGATACTGGTTCTTTTAACATTTCACCAAAAAAACTTGTAATATTTCCTGAAATTAAGTTACCAAGAATTCGAGATTTGTGCAAAAACAGATACGTTACCATTTTTCCAATTGCTTTAAGAGACTAGATAGATAAATCGGCATGAATATACACGATTTAGAAATTTATTATCATTCTTTCAGCATTATAGCACCAGTATATTTACAAAATAGTATGCATCAATATACATTTAAAAACAATCTACGCCTATGAATAGCTTGTGAACTGATAGCTGGTGAAAATGTTACTTATTAATCAATCTTGGTTTAAACAATATTTATTTCTTCATCAATATTTACAGACAATATTACAATATATAAATTTCATTCAGGATTGAGTAGAAAGCTTGGAGCTTATATGAAACTCTCTCCTGTAAAAACATATCTATAATTTATTTTAGTAACAACATGACATAGCAAAAGTTCATTGTTTCTGCATTTAATTCCTTCCATATATTTACAAGAAGATAATAAATACCTACTACTTATGACGTAATTTGTAAGTAATCAATCTTGTTTATTCCAAATACATGATTTACTTATAAAAGCATTTTAGGTCAATAAAAATACTTATGTTCCATACTTATCTATTGACACAATGTAGCTCGGATTTACTTAACAGTATAAATTTATTCCGCTAAGTGGAAACGAATATTAAAGCATAGTAACGTATCTGTTTCACAGTTCTTCTATGAACAAAATTATGAAAAAAACTCTGAACACGTAGATAGATATTCATAAAGTTTTTTAAACAACTGACCAATAACTAATATGTCTGAACCAGTACTTTTAATATTAAACAGAACACACAATTTCATTTACAGGTTTTTTTTTTTTAGGTTTTATTGTTTAATGTGTAGCTTCAAATAGTCAAATAACAGTGTGTCTTTAAGAAACAGATTGAACTTAATAAGAACATTTGAATAAAGACACTCATCTATTAGAATATGTTACAGCTAGATTTAAATGCTAGTGTTTCATAGTGTGAATTGACATTCTGTATTTTGTTTGTCTTTTTGGTCCATCTGCTGTTCAATTCTCTTTCTTTTTTTTCTATATACTTTTTCTTTATATACTGGTACAATCTCGATCCTTGATTTTGTCATACTTGGTGATATGAGTAAGCCTACATGTATATGCTTATCTACATTTAACAAAATTATATCAGAAACAATGGTACCGCTTAAAGAAAACCAACTTAGTAATAATCAATCCATATATATGTGCACCTCCAAGATTTTGAGCTATATCCAATTAGTCCATCCCTACCATAGATAGAAAATCTTGATACGACCCTGACTAAAATATAGAAACTAACGGGCATTCATTTAAAAATACTTTTTTTTCCATTAAGTTACAGCGCTGTTATATATTGTCTAACCATATATTACTTATTTAAACCAAAGTTTTGTTGAAGATTTAGTTATATATATTAAACTGTACTCAAATCTCTTTCTAAACAGATACGTTACTATGATAAACAGATACGTTACCAAAAGTTATACAGTCCTCTACATTTTATTTTTAATACAAATTCTGCAAACCAAAAAGATATCAACATATATTTATTCCAGGAAATAAAACAGTAAATCTTTATATGTTTCTTGCCTGTTTTTCAACATTTTATTTTCTACAAAACTCAACTAATCCTTGAATTTTAAATTCCTGATCCACATTGTCAGTTTTCCAATAAAATTGAGATCAAAGCATCATTTTTCGGCTACACATACGTTATGCTGTAACTTTTTACATGAAACCATTTCAAAACTGAGCAAAATCGTCAATTAAGGTTCAAAAAATAAATATTGGTAACGTATCTGTTGGTAACGTATCTGTTGGTCAAAAAACTAAAATATATCAGATATACACATATGTTTGCCAACTATATTGAAATATTAAGTTTTGTAGAGCCTAATATTTGAATAATGCATAAATGCGATCCTACTTTTAAGTGCTGGTAATAGTAAATGTTTCTCAGTGGGATATCATGGTAACGTATCTGTTTCGCTTTAAAGTATAATCCAAATTGCCTCATCGTTGCAAAGTCATTGTGGTTCTAGCATGTATATTGTAGTCAAAATTATTTTTGAATAATGAAATATGATCAAACTTGAGTTCAATAGCAAACTATTAATATGTTACAAGTTCATATTACTCTTACTCAGGTTTACCTGAAGTGTGGTAACGTGACCTTGTTTTTGACCGGAGATGACCCATCTTCGAACTTGACCTAGAAATCATCAAAACATCAAAACAATCTTCCTAAAAATTTCCAGAATATATGGATCAAAACTGCAGCTGCTAGAGTATTAACAAGCTTTTTCTATTTTTAGCTCCTGTGACCTAGTTTTTGACTCGAGATAACCCATCTTCGAACTCGATCTGTATTTCATTGAGACAAACATTTTGACAAAGTTTGGCAACGATCCAATCAAAACTGTGACTGCTAGACTGTTAACAACCCAATTGTTGACGACGAACGACGCACTACGCACGACGACGGACGCCGGACATAGCCCCATCACTATACCTCACCTTGACCACTTCGTGGTCAGGTGAGCTAAAACATCACTAAAATTATATTAGTCAAAGTACTTGTCTCAAAGCATTGAAAGTGTTATATGCCGTATTGACTTTTATATATAGCATTAGTTAGGCAATGCATACATGTATCTATAAAAAAAATAATTATAATAGAAAACAAGCATAATTTATTTTTTCCATCTAAATATAGTAAGAAAAATACAAATATAATATTAAAAGAAAAAATGGAGATAAAAAGATAGTCGACCGGTGTAGAATTCGAACCCACAACCATTTGATTTCATGCTTTAGAATGGTCATACCTTCACGGGTCATTTCTAAAACAGTCTTTGCATGTAGTGGGACTCTTCCTAAAGTTAATTTAATCGAGTTTTGAGTGACGTCACGTCCGGTTGCAGTAAACAAGTTTAACAGCGGAGCGTCAAAATTAAGAAATAATATATCCCAAACTGTGATTTTATTGCTCAATAACATCACTGTTTGGAGTTCGGATGCGGGGAATTATATCACGAGGGCGTAGCAAACAGTGATGTTATCAAGCAATAAAATCACCGATTATTTCGATTCTAACACGACATCAACAAATAAATACTGCTGTCCACGATAAATAGCTAAACTGAGCCTGATTTGTTTCCGTACTTATTGTCAGCGCGTCACATTTTAGTGGTTACGTCACGTGTATAATGATTACGTCACATATCTAAATATAGAACGTCAAACAGTGATTTTATAGCATAATAATACACACTTTCGGTTCTTCTATGTTCAATAGGGAAAAATGCGGGTCGTGTTAGAATTAACAATAATTAATACATCTGTTACTATATATAGTAACAAACTTGCCAATGATTTCAACTGATTATGAGTGTCACGTGACCTATTATGAGTTTGCGGCCCGGGGCCGAGACTAGACTAGTTATCAGCCCGCTGAACATGTGCACGTGCGCAAACTGAAACAATGACGTCATATTTTACGTCATCAAACAGTTAACTGTAAAAGTGAAAGTAGGTTTAAAGCACGAATCGCTTGATTTTATTATGAGTACTGAAGCGTATTTCGTACAAACACATTTTTGTTACTATTGAAATTTGAAGAAATAATACGACAAATTCATTCCGAAAAAAAATGAAAATAAAACTTCGTTCTACACTTACAAACTTGCTTGCATGATTTCAGTCGGCCATATTCCCTAGCTATGAAAGATAACTCCTTGTATCCCTGTCTAAAATCCAACCAAATTATTCCCCTTTCAAATGAACTTAAAGAAGGGACCTTTTAAAAAGACTTTGTATTTATTTATTCGATTTTTTGTTCCTAAACGGACAATTTTTTCTTTACCTTTGTTTAATTTGCTTTCTATCTATATATGGTTCCTATGGTAAACATATGAGTTTTGATGGTAAACAAATGAATTTTCTGAACCGAAAGTAATCTAACACACAGCGTTGCTGTCATCACATGTAAACAATACATTAAATCGGTAAGAATATTGAGATATTTGTTTGACTATCAGTTATTAATATAGAAAACAACTATGTGTAGTTTTTGTGTATTGTTTTAATGTGTTTGTCTGATATTTTAGTTGTAAAAGCCATGTACGCTTAGTGTCGCTTCATAGCAACCGAGTTTAAAACGTGAGCGGTAACTGAACGAGATATGGCAAAGCGCATGCTCGCGCACTGACTTCCGCTCTATCGAAATACTGCATAATAATTATTATAAGTATAGCGAAAGTTCGTAAGTGTTCTAGATTCTACTGCTTTGAACACACAAACAGTAAACATCTCTGTACAGAACAGTAGAAGTGTACAGTAGACAAGAAGTTCAACGAAAGAACTTCAAAGTATTTGTTATTGATTTTTTTAAAAAAATGCTACTATTAGATCTACCAAGTGTATTAAAGACATTAATACACGTCAGAGAAGGGCCGGAAGGTGATAATCGGCCCTGAAATGAATAATGCCCTCGGGCTGAAGCCCTCGGGGCCATTATTCATTTTGCGGGCCGATTATCACCTTCCGGCCCTACTCTGCCGTGTATTAATCTCTTATTAAATCTTTTGATTATTTAACGTCAGAGATTTTCAATAAAAAGACGGATTTGATAAGGAAAAATAATCTGCACACGATGATTTAATTTTCATTTAATTATGTCTTTGATATCGGAAGAAAAACAATCATTAAAAAAGTGTTGTCTGAACTCTAAAAATGAACGATAAAAAAGATTCAGAAATTCATTCCCAGGAGCAGCGGGATTATGAAATGAACTGTCGGAAAGCGCTTAAGAAAAAAATTGAATACTACAGAACGGAAAGAAATGAGCATTATAGTTACAGGAGGCGGAATTAAGTTGGAAATGAACACTGGTATGTACGAGTTATTTAAGTATGCTTCAGAAATATTCTTTTCTGATCCAGAAATGATTGATCAAACCAAAAAAAAACAACAGCTATTGA